GGCATGCTAGAGACTAGCAGCCAAGTCAAATGCCATATCATATAGAACTTGAAACTTTAGTTGCCAAGTCAAATGCCATATCATAGGTTAACAAAGTTAGAGCTAACTCAGACAAATTTGATGGCCTAAAGCCATCACGAACCAACGACCAAAAATAGATATAATTTGAAGGACCAATACCATCTATTTTAAATTTCAGGGACCAATACTAAAATGGCCCCAAATTTGAGGGACCAATATCATGTCCAGGTCATATGCCACCTACATGCCAACTCATTAGTTTAACAGTGTTAATGCCACATCAGCAAAATTTAATGGTGCCAAGATGCTAGGGACCAACAGTCTGAAACGGACATAATTTAAGGGACCAACACCACACGTTTTAAATTTCAGGGACCAATACCGAATTGGGTCCAAATTTGAGGGACTAAAATTTGTATTAACCCAATTAAATTTTACAAAAATAATAAAATAATAGATAGGTATTAAAAGGCATCAATAATATATGTATGCATAAAATTAAAAAAATTCCATGATATGTTAAATATTAAAATACATATTCCAAGAAAGAATTTTAATGTTAAAAGGATATATGTTTAACATGTTTTATATAGTGCAACAATATATTAATTAATACTTGATATAAATAAAATTATATAAATAAATAATAAAAGTAAACAAATAAACATAAAATTTAAATAAATATCCACATAAAACATAAGATAATAAAATCCAAATCTAAATAAAATCCTACACAAGGAAAACAGGAAAAATCAGGGGTTAGGGCCAGAAGCAGCATCATCGTGATCATCGAGCACTAGATCCTCCCGTTGGTTCTACTGGGGGTGGGCAGGCTGCTGATCATGCTAGGACTGGACTGGCTGCTGGTGGTGTAGGGGCTAGATTGGTGGCAAGTGTACGTTAGGGATCTCGGGAATCGGGATGTTTGGAGCGATAGTGATCACCACATCATGCATGGCCATAGCAGCTACCTTCGACTGGTCAAGCTGCAACTGGAACTGACGATCATGCTCTTCCATCCTAGCCTCGATCTCTTGCCTGATCTCCTGTCACAACTCGTATGAGGACAAGGAACCCGGTTGCTTCACTCCTACACCCGCCTAAGAGCTCCTCACAGTGTTTGAAGGGCCAGCGCAACCCGAGCGGGGCAACCTAGTCAGTGTGGGTCTAAGACTGAGCCCACTAACTCGACCAGGGTGCTGCGCTTGGCCATGACTCGCTAAAAGTGAGGCGGTGGGATCCAAGGCAGATCCCTGAGACTCACGCAGCTGGGTATTGACCTGAATCATCCGCGCCTATCAAAATTAATATAAAGATATTAATTAGTATGAAATAATATTTATGCTACGACATGATATTAATATTTAATTAATTACTTGCTGCCATCTCCTTAACCTCATCTGATGCAAGCCCGTCTAGAGGTCTGTACAGAATCGGCCACATCTTGCCATAGGTCGGCGTGTATCCCTGCTCCTGCCACGTCTTTTCTCTCTGTAAATGAAATGAAAGAAATTATTAATTACAAATTAAATACATATACATATTTAACAAATTCTTTTCAAGTACTTACAACTTGTCATAAGTGATAGCAACGCTCTTGGATCTAGCCCTATGACATACTGTCTGCTGCCTGACGCTCTCAGTATTTCTCTGGGAAAGAGCCTAAAACAAAATGTAAAAAAAAATTAAATCAAATTAATCAAATTGGACAAAAAATAAAAAAATGATAATTAATGCAATATTATCATACCATCTACTCAGCCGACGTTCTAAAATAAACATAACTTAACCAGTTTTGCTCCAGGACTCCACCAGGTATATATGCCAATATCTCCTACAGGGGCCTCATCCCGTCACCTTTCTTCTCTCGCCACAGGTCAGTCCTCTTGTTTTTCCATGCCACCCCAAGTCTCTTGATCGTATCCGCCCTCAACTCCTCTCCCAATATAAATTTACTCTGTAATTAAAAAAATAATGAATTATATTCATTTCACTAATATAAATAAAAATAAATAAAATAAATAAAAAATTATAATCAAACAATTAAGTAATTTAAATAAAAAATATATATTCATTTAACTAATTTAAAAATACTATAAATAAATAAATTAAATCAATAACAAATCATAATAACACAATTAAGTAATTTAAATTAAAATATATTTTCATTCAACTAATTTAAAATTATTATAAGTAATAAATTAATGAAATAAATAACAAATTATCATCAAACAATTAAGTGATTTAAATAAAATATATATATTCATTTAACTAATTTCAAAATATCATAAACAAAAATAAATTACAGCAATAACAAATGATAATCAAACAATTAATTAATTTAAATAAAAATATATTTTCATTCAACTAATTTAAAAATATTATAAGTAATAAATTAATTAAATAAAATAAAATTTAAATACCAAAAATTAAGTATTTTAAATAAAAAATTTATACTCATTTAACTAATTTCAAAATATTATGAATAAAAATAAATTACATCAATAACAAATTATAATCAAACAATTAGGTAATTTAAATAAAAAATATATATTCATTTAACTAATTTAAAAATATTATAAATAACAAATTAAGTAAATAAATAAAAAATTACAATCAAACAATTAAATAATTTAAAAACAAATTATATATTCATTTACTTAAATTAAAAAATTGTAAATAATAATTTTATATTACCTTCATCATTTCCAAATCTTGTTGCTTCTTCTCCAGAGTGATTTTCTTCCAATCCTTCACATAAATGGAGAACAGAATCCATTGCTGACCAAGAAGGCGTATATATTTATTATACAGCTGGCCACCTTTCTTGGTTGGCTGGCTAGCCTAATTTATTCAGTAGCATAACCACCTGTCTACTCGTCATCATAGACAGCTCTCTGGTTGTCAGCCTCCTATAGGACCTATTGTCAGAGTCTACAAAATTTAATTAAGAAATTAATTATATATTAATTAATTAAAAAAATTTCTATATAAATTAAATAGTTGTTAAATTTAAAAAAGTTAAATAAATACTTACCCTCAAATTCTATTTCAAAACCGGTCTGGCGTCTAAGAGCAGGACACTGCTTAGTATGGGGATTCTCATTCCCCTGAACCTACTCCTCCTCCTCGCCAGCATCACCATGGGGTTGTTTATCCCCAGAGAAATGAGCCTCCTCAGTCCGCTAGATATCATCATGTTCTATGAAGCTCAAGATATCCTCCTCGTTTAGATCATAGTCATGAATGCTCGGGAATAGCTCACCAGCATCACGACCCCCACCACCACGATTCTCACTAGGTCTTGCTCTCTTAGGATCAATCGGCTCCTTCCCTACTCGACGACTCATCCTAATAATAAAAAATAGCAATCGTAATGAAAAGTATATTTTACAACTAACAATTATTAAAAATAAATAATTATATCAAATAATAATTATTTCTATTAACTCTAAATAATAATATCAAATAATATTAATTGAAAAACAGATATTCCTATATTTAAATTTGCCGTTAACTCATTAAAAAAAATATAACTACTTCTATTAACTCTATAAAAACTAGCCTACTATAAAAAAATTTCTATTAACTCTAACTAAATTAAGCTAGTCTATCAAACTTAATATAAAAAATGTAATAAAATAAATAAAATAAAAAATAAAAAATTATTTATAAATAAATTACTATTCTTATCTGAAAATATGGATATGGATATGGATCTGGATATACTTCGTGGAGAGAATTCGGCAAAGCTTCACTTCAAAATTTGCCAAAACAGTGAAAATGACGTGGTGGAGGGTATATATAGGCCGTGATTTTCTAGCTGTTTTCGTGTAACCACTAGAATTTTCTAGCTGTTTAAATAAAACCACTAGAAATTTCTAGCTTTTCCACTCTGCCACTGCCTGTATTTAGTCACGTGTCACAACTTCTCCAAAGACATAAAAACTTTCCAGCGGTTTTAAGAGAAACCGCTAGAAAGTTGGTTGCATTAGTAGCGGTTCAGTAACCGCTAGAGAATGAAATGACGGTTCTAGCACCAAATCCGCTAGAAATTAAATGCTAGAAGTATGGCGCCAACTTCTTGCCAAAACGCGCGAACAACTGTGGTGGTCACTTTCTAGCGGTTTGCTCCTAACTGCTAGAAACTTGTGGGGCCCACTCGCTTTCTGGTCAAAGCGTTAGGAATTTCTTGCGGTTTGTGTGAATACCGTTAGAAATTTCTAAATTTGTGGCGATTTTATTTAACCTCTAGAAATGTACCGTTGCTACTTCACCCTTTTTTTTTAGTATATGACTTTAAAGAATAATATTCAAGTATTACAAATAATTAATTCAACTAAATTTCTTAATATTTTAAATTAATTATAGAGCTCTTACAATTAATAAGTAGATGAGGTGTACATAGCATGCTAACCTTTCTACTTAATACTCTCATCTTCAAATTTTATGGCCTGAATTTTTGTTTTCCCCTCTGAAAATCCTTAATAACATGTTAACGTACCAACTCCCTAACATGTTTGGTGACTAGCTTTAAAATATTTAAACTTTGATCATATTAAAACTGGTGATTACATGGGATTCAACTTTATTCTTATTTCATTACATTCGATGGACCTTTTCTTTTTTTAAATTTAACGCCCTTGCAACCCAAGAAAAGAAATCTCGAAGAGCTATATATGATAGCAGACCTACCTGCGTGATCACTTACATCACCAGTTCCACTAATTTGACTGAAATTTGGACCTTTAGAATCAAAGGCAAAGAGAAAAACAGCTGCCCAATGGGTCCCACCACATCCTGGGCAGGTGAAGAAGCTTCTGAAGCTAAAAGACACACTTTCTGACATGTAACGATAGCATAGCAAGTATTCTATATAAGCCCATCAAATCAAGAAAGGCTTCAAACCCAGAAATCAACAAATTTACAAACGTCAATCCAAGTCTTCAACGATCTCAAGGCTTTGTTTCCAAATTTTCATGGAGAAAACAACACCCATAGCCGTTGTTCCCAGCCCTGGATTTAGCCATCTGATTCCTCTTCTTGAGTTCTCCAAGCGACTTGTTCATCTTCACCCAGATTTTCATGTCACATTCATCATCCCCTCACTGGAATCTCCTCCTTCTGCCTCCATAGTCTACCTTCAAAATCTTCCTTCAAACATCCAATCCATTTTTCTTCCTCCTATCTCCAAACAAGACGTACCCAAAGATGCCAATATAGCATTCCAAATTCAACTCACAGTGGCCAAATCTTTGCCATCCTTACAACACGAATTGAAGTCGTTGAATTCGAAATTTCATTTGGCTGCTATAGTTGCAGACCCTTTTGCAATTGAGGTGCTAAGTTTCGCAAAGGAACTGAACACTTTGTTTTTCATTTACTCATATTCAGCTGCTTCAACGCTTTCCTTCTGCCTCTGTCTCCCAACTCTCCATGATGAGATATCTGGGGAGTTCGGAGACGTACCAGATCCTATCCAGATTCCAGGTTGTGTCCCACTCTATGGTGGAGATTTCCCTGACCCGGTTCAAAATCGGTCCAGTGAAGCTTACACAATGTTTCTCCAACAAAGCAAGACATTGTTGTCTGTTGATGGGATATTGGTTAACAGCTTCACCGAGATGGAAGAAAGGGCGGCAAGAGCCTTGACACAGAAAGGAAATGGTTATCCACCTGTGTATCCGATCGGACCCATCACTCAAACTGGGTCTAATTGTGAAGAAAAAGGGTCAGAGTGCTTGAAGTGGTTGGAGAATCAACCACCTAGCTCTGTTTTATATGTTTCTTTTGGAAGTGGTGGGACCCTATCTCAAGACCAAATCAATGAGCTAGCTTTTGGCCTAGAACATAGTGGGAAGAAATTCTTGTGGGTTCTTAGAGTACCAAGTAACTTGGTGAATGCTGCTTACCTTGGTTCTACGAATGAGAATCCTCTTGATTTCTTACCAGAAGGTTTCTTGAAGAGAACCAGAGAGCAAGGTTTTGTCATTCCTTCTTGGGTACCTCAAGTTTCTATCCTTAGTCATGGTTCAGTTGGTGGCTTCTTGAGTCATTGTGGTTGGAACTCCACACTTGAGAGTGTCCAGAAGGGAGTGCCATTAATGGCGTGGCCACTATTTGTAGAGCAGAAAATGAATGCTGCTTTGTTAACTGATGGTCTTAATGTGGCATTGAGGCCTAAAGTGAATGAAAATGGCATAGTGGAAAGGGAAGAGATTGCTAAATTGGCGGAGAGTTTGATGGAAGGCGAAGAAGGTAAGGAGATTCGCAAGAGAATGAAGGATTTAAGAGGTGCTTCTTCTAATGCACACAAAGAAGATGGTTCTTCTGCAAATACGCTATCTGAAGTTGCACTCAAATGGAGAAATAATTTAGATGAGATACATAAAAAGGTTTTGAATTTGTGAATTCTCTTTTTTCTATTAGTAGTTCTTGTACTTGTACGTTCATCTATTTTGATTTGTCAAAGTAAATTGGCTTCCTCTGTTCAAAATGAATAGATATTTCCTGCGCTTGTGCTTCACTTCTATGGGTGCATGTTTGTAATGATTGATTTGTTCTGATGCTATATTTATATATTCCGACAATGCTGCACAGCAGGGAAAAGCTATTTTTAACAGCAATCAAATGTAATATTTTACGCCAATGAACATTTCATTTATTCTTTCTTTTTTAATTTTATATATTCTTTCGATTCTAAATATAAGACCCTTATACTCATATATAGAGAGGTCTTATATTTAGGATGGGAGGAGTATCTTTTATTTTCTTGTTATTTTTCTATACTATAATTAGGCTTCGAAATATAAATGTGTAATGAAAAGAATTTAATGAAAGAAAAGTTAAGACAAAGAAATATCCAAGTGAGAAAAGGAGGAAGAAGAAGACGATGGTGAACGAGACGACAAACAGATTACTTCATTGTTGAAGTGGTTTCTCTAATTAATCATCATCATTCATCTCCAATAACAAGAAAGCATAGAAGTTCAGCTCATATATTCAAGTGAATACTATCCTCTGGAATTTTAAATTATAACATACCATCATGTGTTCAAAGTGCTAAAATACAATAAAATACCATTATTAATCATTTGAATTAAAACTACCTCTTAATGGAAACTTTAACGCGTGTAATCACCTGTGCAAGCTGAGATAGAAGAAGGGATTGATGAAATTGAGATTGTGAATAAGTTTCCTTAGGTATTTCCCAAGGAAGTGTCAAGATTATCCCCTGAATGGGAAGTAGAGTTTTCTATTGATTTGCCTCTTGGGACAGAGCTTGTCTCTAAGGCTCCCTATCAAATGGCTCTTGCTAAATTGGCAGAACTAAAGAAGCATCTTGAAGAATTACTTGAGAAAGGATTCATTAGACCAAGTGTATAGCCATGGGGATCACCGGTACTATTTGTGAAAAAAAAGGATGGAACCTTGCAATTATGTATCGATTACTGACAATTAAACAAAGTCACCATCAAGAACAAATACCCATTACCAAGAATTGATGATCTGTTAGATTAGTTGGTTGGGTCAGTAGTATTCTCTAAGATTGACTTGAGATCAAGATACTATCAATTAAGAGTTACAGCAGAAGATGTTTCTAAGACTGCTTTTTGTTCCCGGTACGGTCACTATGAGTTTCTTGTGATGTCATTTGGTTTAACTAATGCTCCAGGTGCATTCATGAATTATATGAATAGGATCTTCAGACCCTATTTGGATAAGTTCGTAGTGGTGTTTATAGATGACATTCTCATATACTCACAAAACGAAGAGGAACGCCATGAGCACCTTAAAATAGTGTTGCAAGCATTGAGAAAGCACAAGCTTTATGCTAAATTGAGCAAGTGCGAGTTTTGGCTCAAGGAAGTGAAGTTTTTGGGGTATGTTGTTTCAGCTGAAAGGGTTGCAGTGGACCCTACAAAAGTTGATGCAGTTCTTAAGTGGAAACAACTGAAGTCAGTGACTGAAGTGAGAAGTTTCCTAGGTTTGGCTAGATACTATAGGAGGTTCGTACAAGGATTCTCTTAGTTGGCTATGCCACTTACTAAGTTGACTAAGAAAGACCAACCGTTCATCTCGACAGAGAAGTGTAAAGCTACCTTTCAAGAGTTGAAAAAGAAGTTGACTTCTGCACCAATATTGGTTATTCCTGATCCTGCTTTGGCATACACCTTATACACCAATGCTTCTTTGAAAGATTTAGGGTGTGTATTAATGCAAGAAGGGAAGGTTGTTGCTTATGCTTCTAGACATTTGAGACCACACGAGGAAAATTACCTAACTCATGATTTAGAGTTAGCAGCAGTGGTATTTACATTGAAGATATGGAGACACTACTTATATGGTTCACAATTTGATGTTTTTAATGGCCATAAGAGTTTGAAGTATCTGGTGGATCAAAAGGAGCTTAATAATTGACAGAGAAGGTGGATGAATTTTCTTAACGACAATGACTTCCAATTGAAATATCATCCCAGCAAAGCGAATGTTGTCGCTGAAGCTTTGAGTAGAAAAGCTATTCATGTATTTCAACTAAGTCTCTATGAGAACCATTTATTAGAAAGGGTGAAGGACACTGATGTGCTAGCTGATATGGATACAACCTTCCAAGCCATGCAGATTAAAAATGAATTCTGGAAGGAGCTCAAGATAGCTCAGTTAGAGGATGACTATTTATTGAAGATTAGAGAAGAACTAGAAGAGGGAGAAGTTAGTGATTTTGAAGCTGGCAAAGATGGAATTTTGAGATTTAAAGAGAGAGTTTGTATCCCTAATGATGGAAATCTAAGCAATACATCTTAGAGGAAGCTCATCGAAGCAGATACACCATACATCCAGGAATCACTAAGATGTACAACGATCTAAAGCAGAACTATTGGTGGCCTGGAATGAAAAAAGATGTGATAGAATTTGTCTCCCATTATTTGACTTGTCAAAAGGTCAAAATTGAGCATCAGAAGCCACCAGGGTTAATTCAAAATCTAGAGATACCAAAATGGAAATGGGATAGTATATCTATGGATTTTGTTATGGGGCTACCGAGGACACCTAGTAATCATGATGAAATTTTGGTTATTTTTCATCATTTGACCAAGTCTGCCTATTTCCTGCCTATACGAGCTACTTATACAATGGAGCAATATGCTCAATTATATGTGAAGGAGATTGTCAGATTGTATGGTGTGCCAGAGAGTATTATCTCTGATAGGAATCCAAGGTTCACGTCAGGTTTCTGGACAGCTTTGTACCAAGCTATGGGTTCTAGATTGAAATATAGTACAGCTTATCATCCACAAACCAAGAGACAAATAGAGAGAACAATCTAAACCTTAGAAGATATGTTGAGGGCTTGTGCCATTGAATTGAAGGGTAGCTGGGACAATCACTTGCCGCTGGCTGAGTTTGCCTATAATAACAGCTATCACTCGAGCATACAGATGACGCCTTACGAGGCATTATATGGCAGAAAGTGCAGATCACTGTTGTGTTGGATAGAATTGAGTGAAAGAACTATCATCAGCCCTGATTAAGTTGACTGCACTACAGAAAAGATTGAAATGATTAAAAAGAAGTTGTTGGCAACTCAAAGTAGACAGAAGAGCTATGTGGATAAACGACAAAGACCCTTGGAATTTTGTGTTGGTGATCATGTATTTCTACGTGTCACCCCAATGACAGGCATTGGAAGGTCTATCAAAGCCAAGAAATTGAGTCCAAGATTCATGGGTCCGTATGAGATTCTTGCTAGAATTGGTGAAGTAGCATACCATATCGCATTGCCACCATAGCTAGACAAGGTTCATAATGTGTTTCATGTGTCGCAATTGAAGAAGTACCAACCCGATCCCTCACACATCATTGAGCCTGAAGAGGTTGAACTTCATGAGAATTTGACTTACAGGACAGAACCAAAGCGAATTGCCGATGTGAAAGAGAAACAACTAAGAAATAAGACAATTCGACTTGTGAAAGTCATATGGAAGGGTATGGCTCCCAATGATGCTACTTGGGAAACGAAAGAGAAGATGCAACAATCTTATCCTCATTTTTTTAATTAGGTACGTAGAACTCTTACATCAATTGAATTTTGGGGGCAAAATTCCTATTTAGGAGAGGAGAGTTGTAACATCCAAAAAATATATATATTTAGATTTTAGTTTATTAAAATGAGATTGATTAATTATCATTGAAGTTAATCTTAATTACGAGTGAGACTACTAATTAATAAATAATAGTTAAATAATAATTAATATATATTTAAAATATATATAGATAAATATAATATATAAAAATATATATATTTTAATAGTGGGTGGCACGTGGCCACCCACTGTTTGTTTTGGGGGGGAGTTAAATCCCCGGTGGGCCGTGACCCACCTTAAAAAAATAGAACTAAGGGAATGAATAAGAGGTCACGTGACCCACTACAATTGAATCATTTTTCCCTTCTTCCACCTCCCGCCTCGTAGCCCCTCCTCACTACTTCACCTTCGTGTTCCTCTGGTCCACTGCCCTGCCGCATGAGAGACTGAGAGTGAGAGGTTGAGGGTGTGAGCAAGAAGAGATTCTTTGGTCTCCTCTAAATTATTTAGGTAAACTATTTTCTTTCTACTTTTTCTATTTATTTTTAAGTTTATGGCAGAAAATAAGATGTGTTAGGGCTTGATAGATTTTTAATGATTTGAGGCTTCTAACTTATTTTGATGATATTAATGGAGCTTATGGGATTAGAATAAGAGCCTTATGACTTAGAGTTTTGGTTGGATGGTTGATTTGAGGCAATATAAGTTAGGGTTTGGTTAGGAAATTGTGATTTGTGTTAATAATGATATTAATTTCAAAATTTATCTCTTACTTGGGTTCATTGGAAGTTATATTAAGGATTCAATGCTTGAACTTTGAGGATTTTTGTTAAAATAGGATTGTTGATGACTTTTGGAGAGACTTTAACTAGTAGAAGTTAGGTGTTTTGAATAAATTGGGAAAAATAATAAAAGTTATTGATTCTAATGAATGGGGAATGATTAATAGAAGAAGGGAATAGGATTGTAATAATGATTTGAGGCATAGTTGATATATGGTTATTTTTCTAAGAGTTAAAGTAAGCACTTTTTGGAGATTTTAGGATGATTTGAAGGAATTATTCTTATTAATAATGGGAATAAGAGAAATAGAGTTGGGAAGTACTAGAAATTGTTACTTGGAGGAATAGATGAATTATTATTTTTCCTAAAGATAAATTCTTAAAGCAAGCCAATTATGGGGATTTAGTTAATAAACTATTTTAATGTATATTAATTAGTTTTTAATACTTGTCTATAAATTTATTATTGTAGAGTGAGCTTGGCTTGGGCTCTTGGGTCTTGAATCCTCCCATTTTAGTTCTTGTGTCAAGAACTTGAAGTAGCCACTTTCTAATTTACCTTGTATGCTTGTTGATGTGATTATAAGCATGTGTTAATATTATAGATATTATCATTATATGTTATGGTGATTTACGTATGAAAAGCGAAATATACATATATATATATATGAAAATTTATTAGTTAAGTGGGCATGGATTATTTTATCTTGTGAATATCTTGTTGATGTTGAACAAAAATTTGATTATTGAATCTGAGGATACTTTATGAATATTGGATTTTGAGGAATTAGATGGTTGGAATGTTTATGGAGCTGTATTGTGTTGTGCTGAAATGTAATGGTGGGAGATTTGATTATTTATACCACATGGTATAACCACCACTTGGCATCCAGTGGCTAGCTTTAACATTCTTAGGGCCCTCGATATCATCCTTCCTTTGGCCGGGTCAAGGGTCAGCCCAAGGGACATGATACCTTTTAGTATTCTAAGGAAAGGAAACCCATGGTCTGATATGAGCTCTATAACTTTTGGCCAAGTTATATGTCATTATTGGAGAGCTTGGTGCAGTCTTGTTAAAGAGACTAATCCTATTATGCATTATTAGTCCATAGGTTCTGTTAGAGGTTACAATGAAGTTATAAGGATGGTTGATGAAGTTCTATGCATGCAAGTTATCTTTTGAAATTATTATATATTGTTTTCTGTAAAGATGTTTACCTTATATGTTATTTAAAATTGTACTTTGCCTGCTTAACTATCTTGTAATCACTCCCTGTATACTTGTTAAATTGGAATTGTGGTTATTGGGTCAATTTGACTCACCCCGTAGTTATTTAATATTTTTCAGGCGAGGGTTCAGGTGTTAGTCTCAAGAGAAAGTTGTCCAAGGCTTGAGTTGCTCTTCCAACTTTGTGTAGCCTCTATGTTGGTATACATGATTTGTTTGATATATATTGCCAAAACTTTAGGGCTTTTTTGTTAAACTTAACATATGTTTAATTTTTCTGCTGCATTCTAGACTTGAGCTATTGGGCAGAGCCCTTTTTGGGTATAGGGGACTATTATTTTGATTGCGATTGATATGGGTAGTGGTGGTAATTATTTTGGTGGACTTCAAATGCTATAACCCATTCATGATTGGTTTTAGTTATATTTTTGGGATTATAGATATTCATGATGGAGTTATTATACACTTGAAAAATCAAGTACTGATTACTTCTTGTTACATTAATTATCTCTACTACTTTGGAATAGTGGCTACTGCACTATTATGGATGTAAATTGTTAATGACTATGGTAGATTTCTATTTGATTGGTTTTATTCTTCCTACCATAGCTACTACCTAAATTTTTTCTTGGCTAATTCTTTTCTAATTATTAATCTTTAAAGAATTAATTATCATTTTGAAAATGATTATTTACCATTAATTACGGAGGCTGTTACACAATGACATGTCCTATTTATAGGCAGAGTCTTACACATAAATTACACTTGTACTTAAATGTCATAGTGGATAATAAATCATATGAATATGAGTGGGAGGTGAGTTACAAGATTAAAGGTATAGTGGAGGAGTAATAGAGTAGTGGATGAGTAATGTATAGTGAAAGTAGGGGAAGTTGATGAAGTTAAAGAGGAAGTGGAGATGGACATTCACACTTG